AAAGTTAAAAAAAGGTTAAAGAAGGTCAGAGTACAGAGAAGGTCAGATAAGGTCACGGAAGGTTAGAGGTCAGAGAAGGTCACGGAAGGTCAGAGAAGGTCATAGAAGGTCAAAGAAGGTCAGAAAAGGTCAAAGAAGGTCAGGGAAGGTCATAGAAGGTCAAAGAAGGTCAGAAAAGGTCAGAAAAGGTCATAGAAGGTCATAGAAGGTTAGAGAAGGTTAGAGGTCATAGAAGGTCAAAGGTCAGAGAAGGTCAGAAAAGGTCAAAGAAGGTCAGATAAGGTTAGAGAAGGTCAGAAGTGCTAAAACTTCAGAGCAAAAATGAGGAAGGAGCTTGTTCTTTAAAGTGAGACTAGGAAGTGTGAGCTGAACTAAATAAACCCAGTCTAAATAATAATAATTATTATAATAATTCTGTGGACTGGTTAAACATCTCCGCCTGCTTCTTAACCAGGAATCAAAATGGAGTCTCATGTGGTCACTAGAGGTCAGTAGCAGACTCTATTTTGGGATTTTAACCTTTATTAGCCACATGAATACATTACCAGGCAGACAAAAAGTGCATTTCTGTTAATCCGAATAAGGAAAATAAAGCAGAATTAAAAGGACTTTGGTTTCCTAAAAGCGAAGATAAGCAGGTTGTCTGATAAGAAGCCTGGTAGTTTATCTTATCACACTATTACGCTGCTACTTGTTTCAAAATCCTGAGGGCCAAAGTATAAAAGTTGTATTTTTTATTAAATAACTTCCATCCCTGTATTTTGTAAGTTCTGTAAGAACTTTCTGGACTTTGAGAGGTTCATTAACCCGTTCAGACAGCTAACAAAAAGCTTTTTTCCCGTGTGTTTATGGGTCTTTATGCTTTAAATACTGAATGGACACTGGGGTTTCCTGCTATAAAACTAAAAAAAAAAACAGAATAATACACTATTAAGGTGGAACTGGAGTAAACGGGTTAGTTTCTGATTTCTGTTAAAAGTCAAAACATGTTCACATTGTAAAAGTATTTTA